AATGTGAGCTATGGTTATACAATTGTTCCTAAGTAATATCTTGTAATCTATTGTATTTATGTGCTATCTGTGGTGATTTCATTGCTTACTTTTGTGTCACTATCATTTTCTCTCTTTTCTTTGTAGCCTAGTGAAAGATCTTTGTATTTTGTTTATCTTCTTGAAGAACCAACTTTTAGTTTCATTGACTTCTTAGTCTTTTTGGCCTCTGTTTCATTTATTTCCATTTTTGATTTTATTGTTTCCTTCTTCTAACTTTGGGTCTTGTTCATTCCTCTTTTCAAATTGCTTTAGGTCATTCGTTGAGAATTTTCCATGCTGCTTAATGTCAGCACGTAGTGTAAGGATTTTACCTTTTAAGACCACTTTGCTGCCTCCCATAGATTCTGGTCATTTGTATCCCCATTTCAATTAGTCTCAAGGTTATTTTTTAGTTTCTGTTTTAATTTCTTCTTTTATCATAGTTTTTCATGATTTTTTCACATAGTTGATTTCTAATTTTATGGCATTTGATCAGGGAGAGTACTTGGTATGATCATGTTCCTTGCAGTTTTGTTGATTTGTGCCCAAAATATGGACTATTCTTGAGAATGTTCCAGGTACACTTGAAAAAAAAATTGTGTATGCAATAGATTTTGCTTGGAGTGTTCAGTAGATGTGTGTTAAACGTTTTTGACCTAGTTCCTCATCTAAGGCTAATGGTTCCTTATTTGTTCTTTGTCTTCTTTGTCGGTTTGTAAGTGGGGTTTTAAAATCCTCTAGTGTTACTGAACTATTATTAGTATCTCTTACTGGTTCCTTTATTGTCTTATGTATCTTGGTGCTCCATCATTCAGTGCAAATATACTTATTAGCTTATTTCTTTATGTATTAGATCCTTTATCATAGCATAGTGTTCATCTTTATCTTTTAATAAGTTTTTTTTAAAGATTTATTTATTTATTCATACAGAACTGGGGTACAGGCCAGAGATGCGGAGGGTGAGAGGGTTCACCAGAGACAGAGCGGGGTGCAGAACAGGCAGATCAACGAGGTACACTGCTGAGGGGAGCAGCGGGCGGGTCAGGAGAGGTCTGCCGTGCCATGTGGTCACCTCCGGGGCCGGCGGGGATCGAACTCATGCGGAAGTAGTTTAAGCTTCTTAGTGCTGTGCTTTAACCCGCTGCGCCACCATGGAGGGCCCATCTTTTAATAAGTTTTTTAATTGAAAATCTATTTTATGTGTAATGGTTCTGTTGAAAAGTCCACTAACAGTATAGTCATTCCTATTTTTTGTTGTTTTTGCTGTGACCTTTTGCTGCATGACTGTCTTCCAGCCTTTATCTAACTCTGTACCTGTCTTCGTAGGTAGGATGTGTTTCTTGTAAACAGCAAACGGTTGGACTTTGCTTTGAAGTCCTTTCAAACAACTCTACATCTTTTGACAGATGAATTCAGACCAACTTACATTTAAGGTGATTATTGAGATACAAGTGCTTAGTGCCATTTTGATATGTTTTAGATTTGTTTTTGTTTTTTGGTTTGTCGTGCCTTTTATTTTTTTAAGTGTTCCTTTTATGCTTTGTTTAGGCTCTATTTCCTTTGTCTTATGTATTATTTTGATTAATTTTTCCTTGCTAAGATTAGCATGTGGTGGGCTATTTGTATGGCTTGTAGGACAATCAGGTGACTCCCTCACTCTGTGGGCCACATTACTACTCTCTTGTTCCTCCAAGTTAAATGATTTAAGAGTCTCCGTCCTCTGTATTCATTGTCCCGTTGTCTTATAATTACCTCTACACAACTTCTTACCTGTACACTTGGTGTTCATAAATTCTTTTAGTTTTTGTTTATTGGTTAAGTTCCTTCCTCTACCTTCTGTCTTGAAAATTTAATCTTGAAGAACTGGAAATCTTTTTCTTTATGTACTTCAAATATCTCCTGACAATCCCTTTGTGTTTGTAATAGTTCTAGTGAAAAGTCCACTAACATTCTGATTGATGTTCCCTCATAAATTACCCTTTATTTCTTATATTTAAGTATTCTGTCCTTGTCTTTAGCTTTTGACAGCTTTGTTATTTTTTTATTTTACAGGACTTATTTAATTCTCACATATAGATTTATTTATGTAGAAAAAGCTATATGGTTGAATTTTATTTTTTAATTTTAATTTATATATTTTTACATTATTCTTCATTTCCATACAATGTATACTTGATCCACTCATGTATAGTCCCCAAGGAGTTCCCACCACCAGTTCTCCTATGCATCATCACCATCACCACAATCCCTTGTGCTTTTCCCACCCATTTTGAGCCAATCCTCTCCCCCAAGAATGTCTCTGCTTTATAGTTGCCTGTTGGTTTTTATTTTTACTTTGTTATAATTACTATCCCACCCATCCCTTATTTGGGTCACCTACATTCCTCCTATAAGTGAACCATCCAGTATTTTTCTTTTTCTTCTGATTTATTTCATATGTGTGATCCTTTCCAACTCCAACCATGTTGCTGTGAATGGCATGAGTTTATCTTTTTTGATTGCTGAATAGTATTCCATTGTGTATATGTACCACATCTTCTTGATCCAGTCATCTGTTTTTGGGTAGCTGGGTTGCTTCCATAGCTTACCTAATGTGAATAGGATTTCAGGTGCTTTTTTGAATTAATGTTTTTGTATTCTCTAGGTAAATACCCAGGAGTGAAATTGCTGGATCATAAGAGAGATCCATTATTAGCAGTTTGAGGAACCTCCACACAGCTTTCCAGTGGACCAGGGGACCAGTTTACATTCCCACCAGCAACATTTGTTGTTGCCAGTTTTTTAATATTGCCATTCTCTGGTGTAAGGTGATAGCTCGTTGTTTCATTTGCATTTCCCTGGTTACATTTTTTTTATATGCCTGTTGGCCATTTGCATTTCCTCAAGGAAAAGTGTCTTTTTAGTCCTTCTGCCCATTTTTTGACTGGGTTGTTTATTTTTGTTGAGTTTCCACAGCTCTTTGTAGACCTTTGTGATCAGCCCCTTATCATTCATATTGTGAGCAAAAATTCTCTCCCAGCCAGTGAGGTGTCTTTTTGTTCTGGCTAATGTCTCTTTTGTTATACAGAAGCTTCTTAATTTGATGGAGTCCCAGTTGTTTACCTTTCTCTTCACTATCTATGCTTTGGGTCATATGTCATGCAAGATTCAACAGCTCTGCTATAATGTGCCTTGTTGTGTGTCCATTGTTTCATTTTTTTAACTCTGTGGGCCTCCTAGATCACATCTCATTCATTTTCCAAACTGAAATGACTTTCAGCAATTATGTCTTTAAGTAATTTCTCTGCCTTTCTTTTCTCTTCTGGGATTCTCCTGATATGAATGTTATTTCTCTTTAGATAAATACCCCAAAGAGCTTTTACATCATTTTCATTTTCTTCTTTTATTCCCCTACAGTGTTCTATTTGTACGATCTCTGATTGTGTTTGTAAGCTCGTTGATAGTTTCCATTTCTTCTGTCTATCTGCTATGAGGGTCTCCATTATGTTTTTCTTTTAATTTGGTGTCAGTGATTTTAGCTCCACTACTTCTAATTGCAGCTGCCTCATATTTTCTGTTCCAGAGCTACCATTGTTTGGTTTTGTTTTGTTTTTCAGTTCTATAAGTACTGTTACAACTCTCATCTGAATTCTTCTTCAGTCATGTTCTGCAGTTCTGCTGGATTAAGACTCCTCTTGGGTATTTCTTTTCATTTGCTCCAGTATTTGTGGTGTTCTTCTGTCTCCTCATTTTTTGTTTGTAAAGGTGTAATAGACATAAACTTCCAGACTACCTTTGTACCTGTTGAAGTAATCAGAGAACTGGCACAGGCAAGGGTTAGTAGAGTTAAACAAAACAGGACCCAGCAGGAAACCACTGGCTTACCAGGGGAATGTCAGGGGCTGAAGCTCCCTACTGTACTGTACCAGGGGAATGTCAGGGGCTGAAGCTCCCTACTGTACTGTGGTGGGGGTGGGGCACTGTGAGGCCTCCTCAGGGCCAACTCTCCGACAAGTCTTCACACCTCATGTCAACTGCACCTCTCAGCTGTTCTGGAGCACTGGGAGCAGCATGGGCACAGGCTGTAGCTGACATGGCACAGGTCAGGAGTTGGCCCCTTTTCCTTTCCAGCACAGGCCCTCATCTTGATGAGTTTGTTCCCATTATTAACATAAATCTGGTTTGCTCAAGTGTTCGTCTGTTGTCTTTGCTTTAACCCCTAGGTGTGTGTGTGTGTGTGAGAGAGAGAGAGAGAGAGAGGGAGAGAGAGAGAGAGAGAGAGGTTGAGAGAGAGAGGTGATGGGGAGTGCAGGAGTTTTGGAACTCCCAGCCTTGGCTTCAAGTCGTAGCCTTATCTGTGAGGAGACACAGGTGCCCCCAACTGCTCCTCCCCTCTACTTCAGTCTCTAACTATTGGATATGGAGAACCTTGGGCTCATGCCAGTAACCCTCAATCTGCACCCCTGCTCCTGTAGCTCTACACCAGCGCATCCCCGGAGCTGAGCACCCAGTCTGCACACTCCCATATTCAGTGCCATGCCAGGTTTCAAGAGTCCCCACTGGTGGTGTGTACCCGAATCACAACTGTGGGCTCCACCCACAGCCAGCCTTCCTCGTGTGGCTTGTGACTTGTGCTGCCCCATTATCACTATAAAGTCGGTTCAGTTACATTTTTTTCATTTCTACCAGATATTTGCTCCTCGTGTGTGCTGTGGTTGTTTTTCCTTTAGAGGTTGCTACCTTGATCTAGTTGTGATTATGTGAGGGAGGTAAGTCCAGGGTCTTCACTCCACCACCATCTTGCCAGACTCCAAGCTTCCATTTTGAAATTGCTCCTTTTTGGTTACAACAAGAACATGAGAGCCCATTCAGAGGCAGAAATGCTTTGCCTCACCCCCTTGGGCCTCAAGCCTGAGCAGAGAAATTACTTTTAGCCACCTCCCCAACCTCCCAGCTCACACTCTGCCTTCTGCCAACTCTATTTTCTTTCTTGCCCCCAGGCCTTAGCCTCCTGCCGGGACACTCTGGCCTTCTGCTATAAGGAGAGGCTCCAAGCTGTGGACCTAATGAACCAGCCACTAGACAAGGTTCTGGAGCAGGCTGGCCGCCACTCATGGGTGCACCTATCCCGCGTGCCCACCCCACGCACTCAGGGCCAGAAGACACCACCTATAGACCCTGTGGGTACCTATACCCCAGGTAGGTTCACAGAAAGCAGCCCACTCTCTTGGGTGTCCTCGGTGCTATCAGGCCACAAGGAAACATTTCCCCATCCCTCTTCTGAGGCAGGACAAACACATTAGTGTAAGACTGACTGGCAGGAGTACATTACACAGCAAGAAATTATAAATTAAGTGGCACAACTGGAGGTTTATATCTAGTGTTAAAGGACCTAAGTGTCAAGGAAAAAGAAATGGGCTTCACATGAATAGGAGGGGATGTCTTCATGACAAAATTTTACCTCTAATATTTGCCCTGTCTAAGATAGACTTCTCTGCTTAAAAAGTCTGCCTCAGGAAATATCCTTAAATCTCAGGTACCTGCATTCTTTAAGTAATGTAGCAGTTTCTCCCAAAGCCCCCAAGGCCTTGACTGACCTTAGTTTCACATGCATGATCTCACCTGTTGGACAAAACCTACTCTGAGCATCTTTGGGGGGAAACCTAGCTGAACTTTCTGGACGAGACTTACCTACAGTGGTCACCACTCTTGACTTCCTTGTGGCCTGGAAGATATCCTAGGCAATCTCCAGCTGGATCCACATTCTCACTTAGTTCTTCCCCTGGCACATTCCTGCTTCCTACACTCCAAAGTCACTTGCAGACACCATTCACACTAACCCCAATGGACTTTAGAAGTTCCTTGGTAAAGCCTCCACCCAGAGGTCACCACGACTGGGAATAGAAAGCCAAGGTCATGGAAGGGAGGGCTTGGTGCCCGTGCATGAACCACCTCCCTGCAGAGTGTGCCACAGCGCTGTATGAAGCCAAGCAACTGCTGATGGAGTCCAAGGACATCTTACAAGAAATGGCAAAGAGTGAGGAAGACATCCGGCAGCAACAGCAGCAGATAAGCGATCTCGTGTGCGCCTCACTGACGCAGAAGATGCACGAAACGTCAGAGCTGAAGGTGGGCAGAGAGGGAGCAGGTAGTTGGTAGCCGGGCTCTAGGAGGCATGAATACTGAGGACAGACTTGAGGGCAGAGGAACTAGAAGCTGTCCTTATCCACCCTCCCAGGAAAAAATGTACATGGCCTTAGGATTAATGAGGGGAACAATCCACCGGTGCACAAAATTCAGCCACGAGATGCACATCACCCGCGGCCTCATCAAGGTGTAGTTTGGTTGAGGGTCTGTGGGGATGGGGGTGGCGCCAGATGTGCTGGTAGGCTGGACCTTACTGCTCCCCACCCTGCACTCTGCCAGGGTCCTCTGTCAAAATCTCACCTGGAGACTAGAGAGAAGCTGGACAGACCTCTGGTTCGAGTGTACCAAAGACACGTGGGCACTCAACTCCCCGAGGCCTCGCGCCTTGCTCAGGTACTTGCTCTTCTTTCATTTTTGGGACCCCCCCCACATCTCTATGGGTTCTCCTGCCCTAACCTTCCTGGTAAGACTCCAAAAGGACACCTGGCTCAGGTAAGACTCCCTCACCCAAGTCTGTCAGTCCTTCTACTTCTGCCCTGGAGGAGGACCTTCACTACCCACACTTGTCTCAAGTAAGTCCCCTCAACCTGTCTGCCTCACCCTCTACCCCATCAGGGGTCCTCCCTCAACTCTAGACCCCTTTTTTTCCCTCCCCCAACCCCACTCCTTCCAGACATATTGCCTGAAGGCTTAGAAGTGCTGGGAAGACCAGCTATGCCCAGCGCTTCAGTCTCCAAGTGCATCCCCCACCTCAGCCTCTCCCTGTCTCGGGGTCTTATTCCAGCACATCTGACCCCAGTGGGTCGTCCACCAAGTGCAGGCGAGGACAGCACCTCCACAGACGTCCTGCTTCCCTGGGTGAGGGGAGGGGGCCTTCCTGCCGCAGGCACAGCTGGCCCTGGAGTGGCATCCTGGCCCCTTCTCTCCAGGGCACTGACAAACTGCAGCGCCACATCTCACACGTGGAAAAGAACCTGAAAGCGCTGATGGACAAGCACAAGCACCTCTCCCGGAGCCTCGACTGCAAGAAGATGGGCCAGAAAGCCGACTACAGCGTGGTGCGCCTGCGCCTCCGCCAGCGCCATCCGCACGTGTACTACGAGCAGGCGCAGCGCCTCGTCAGCGACTGGAGCCCTCCCGTGCCTCCCGGCGCCGGCACCCAGTGACCACGATGCTCCCGCCCCCACCGAGCCGGCGGGCTCAGCGCCGCTGGACCCTGGGAGCAGCGAGGCTGCTGGCCTTCCCTCCCAGACAAATCTGTCCTTCATGCGCCCTCTAGCAAAAGTATAATAAAAAAATGTTTATGATTTATTAGGCACCTACACAGTATCCGTTCACTTTCCTTACCACAGGTTAGCAGGTGTATGCTGGAAGTTAACAGAGCACAGATTTGGCTGCCATTTGGGATTCAAATGCCAACTCCAAAGTTTCAAGCTGTAGGGCCCGGAACAAGCCAGGTCCCTCTCTGGACTGACTGGCACTACCTGTAAAATGGAGAGAGTTACCAGCTACCTTTCAAAGCATGGTTTTTTGTTTTTTTTTTTTTAAAGATGTATTTATTTATGCATACAGAACTGGGGTACAGGCCAGAGGCGGAGAGAGGCTTCACCAGAGACAGAGTGGGGAGCAGAACAGGCAGATAGACGACGTCGTACACTGCTGAGGGGAGCAGCGGGCGGGTCAGGAGAGGTCTGCCACGCCATGTGGTCACCTCCGGGGCAGGCGGGAATCGAACTCATGCGGAAGCGGCTTTAGATTCTCAATGCTGTGCTTTAACCCGCTGCGCCACCAGGGAGGGCCCAAAGCATGGTTTTAAGGAGAGATGTGTTCCTATGTGGGATGCATAAAATGGTGGCTGCAGATAAAATATCCCCAGTGTGCCTGAGTTATATCACTCCTTTCCTCAGTTGAGGAAACTGGGACTTAACTGAGGTTAAGTAGATGCCAAAGGTCATGCAGCTAGAAATAGAAGACCTGGGAATTTAATTCCTGAAATTAAATTCATAATCTCCACAGAACTTGGCCTCCTACACTCTGCACAGAACTTGACCCCCTCTTCTGTCCTCTCCTCTTAGATGAGCATAAGTCTCCCCTTTTTCTACCTCTATCAACCACACACACACACACACACAGCCACCCCCCCATAGCATTTTCTAGTGGAAGCTATTTCCCAGATCCCAGGCAGTTCATTTGGGGAGGTGGAATTAAACCTATTGTCGTTTTCTACATTTACCTGGGGCAGGTGGGGAGGAGGCTGTGCCTTCAAAATTAGCATCCTTCATTTTTTGAACCCCTACAAAGTGGCGGATTCTGAACCAAGGCAGTAAGAAGGTCAGCTAGAAGCTCACCTATCAATCAAGTGCAAACAATCTCCTGGTTTGGGCTGCAGCTCTTCTTAGGTTGCAGCCCACCTGACGGTACCCACCCATCTGTCATAACTCAGTTTCTCCTATGTTCCCAGAGCTTCTGGGTATGCTCCCATTGTAAAACTGCTTGAATAGAGAATTGATAATTATCTGGAATCCATGGGAAGATACCACTGTGCGGTATATGTACAATGGGGGGGTCTGTTCTTCAAGCCACAACATTTTCCAAGTAACTGTTGTATAACAGAGACTGGTATGCAGACCAAATTAGACGCCATCCCACCTTCATAGAACTGACCTTGCAAATGCTGAGACTGGTTCTCAAGAATATTGTTAATGTTTGGCAAAGCAAAAAAGTCACCTGGATATAACATAATCCAGCCAACAATTTATCGAGAAGGACATGAAGGTCAGGAACTTAAACTCATTTGTCCAGAGCCATCAAAAAACAAAGCAGAGTTTAAACCTGGGTCTCAATCCATGCTCTCTCCCTGCTCCACATGCAATGTGGGCTCGCTCACCATGCTTTCCATTGGTCCCCTAGCAACCAAATGGAAATGAGGTAAATTATACACATTTGGCAGGGAAATACACAGGAAATAAAGGGAACCAGCCATCTCAGGAGTGGAGTTGGGGGTTTAAACCAACACTGTATGCACCCTGGGCTCAGACTTCACCCAGGAAATGTTCTTCAAGCATTCTCTATACCAGTGTCAACAGGAGGAACATCAGCAGGAAGCAGGTATCACAGCCATTTGAAGATAGTTGATCCCCATTATTTGCAGATTTTGTACTTGTGACTTTGCCTTAATCACTAAAATGTATTTGTAACCCCCAGATCAATGCAGAGGCTTTCCTGTAGTTATTGACAGGTACATGCAGAGCAGCGAAAGATTTCTGTAGCCCGACATGCACAGTCCCAGCCAGACTCAGTAAAGTGAGGTTCTGTGTTCCCCCTCCAGGCTCACAAACAAGTGTCCCTTTGGGGGTTTGTTATTTTTCCATCTACTTAGTGTCATAATTTTTCAAGTTTTTGTGCTTCTCATTTGGTGATTTCACTTTAAAATGTCTCCTAAGTGCAGCCGAAGCGCCGTCTGGTGTTCCTAAGTACAAGACTGGGAAGTGCCGTAACAGCAAATTTGTTAGACAAGCCTCATTTGGACAGAGCAGAGCACCATTGGCCTAGAACTCACATTAATTGAACTAATGGTTCACATTAATATTGGATATATTTTTTAACAGTATAAAAAGAAAAAACACATCAAATGAAGAGATTCATAGATCAGTTGACCAGAGGCTCACAAGAACTTATCCCTTATATTTCTCCTGAAGACAATGATGTGATATTCCAGCAACATTAAAGGACACACCTTCTGCAAATAATGAGAACTATATTTGCAAAGGTATAGGGACAATATTGGAAAGCCTGAAGGCTAAACATGGAGAACCACCCTTGTCTCTGCAAGGTCTTGACTGAAATAAAAGTTTTAATGACAGCTAAATGGTTTACTAGATAAGTGAGAATTTGAACTCAGGAAACAGCCCAACAGATTTAACCCTGTGAGCACTATTCCAACTATCACAGGTGAGTTCAGTTTACATAGAAACAGTGAGTCATTGGTAGCAAAAATGTAATTCTTCTCGGCAAGGGGGCTCCTGTTATGTTACCTGAAGATGTGCCAGTCTTATCTGTGTACAAAGGAAAGCAAATACTGGGATCTAAACACTTCCCTGATTTCTAAAGAATGCACCGTGAAGATGCAAGTTCTGGGTACCCATTTTTTAAATCTTTATCTGGCTCCTTGGGCAATAATGGGGGTTGAAAGGCCGGTTTACTCCCAGAGAGTAGGTTTTTGCATAGTTGCTTCATAGACTTCAAGTCTGTGCAGGTTACTTAGCTCTCTGGCCAGCTAGGGGGTGTGGGCATCTCAGAACAAGCTGCAGGCACTATCTAAAGGCACAAGGGAGACAAAAGCAGGTAGCTTTGGAGTGCTGCCTTGTGGCTGCTGGGGGAAGTAGTACCCCGACATGCTCCCTCTCGCTCCACTGGCTGGAGAGAGTTTCTACCCTGCTAACTTTTTAACTATTTTTTCTTGCATCATTCTTCATTTTTGTACAATGTATGCTCTAAATCTCTGTTGCAATCCCTGTGGACTCCCCACCACAATTCACTCATGTGCCATCACCATGGCCCCATGAGCTCTTCCCACCCCTGTTTGATCCTGTTCCCCCCATGCCCCTGTAGAATGTCTAGGGTTTATAGTTATTGATTTTAGTTTTTATTTTATTACAATTACTTTTTCTGCCCCTTTATATTCCTGCTATGAGCGAAATCATCCAGTATTTTTCTTTGTCTTTCTGCTTATTTCACTAAGCATGATCCCTTCCAGCTCCATCCATTTTGCCGCAAAGGCATGAGTTTATCTTTTTGATTGCTGAGTAATTTCCCATAGTGTATATGTACCTCATCTTCTTGATCCAGTCAGTTATTTGGGGGCACTTGGGTTAATTCCACATCTTCCTTGTTGTAAATAGTATTGCAATAAACATAGGATCCACCCTGTTGATTTTTGAGCAGGTCCGCCCCAGGTCTGGGCATTGTCTTTGTGCAGGAGCTTTTGTCCACTGTTTGGGGAGGAAGCCAGTCTTTCTCTACCTTCAATATCCAGTATGACTGGAAAGTAATTACATTGACACAAGGGCAATTAGCAAGAGAAAATTAACAAAATTAATAAGGGAACTTCTCAGCTGGTCATTCCAATGAGTTGACACTGTCTCTAGAAAGCAAGCAAGAAATTTGGGAGAGAAAAACAGAACAAAGTACTTTGCAATTTTACAAAAAAAGGAATTTTGCAGCATTTATCTACATATCTAATATCTATATGTCAGAAACAGACCTTGCCAGCCATAGTCTGGGTTGTCCTCTCACCTCTAGGACAACCACATTGATTTATTTCCTATTTCTAGGGAGATGGTCAGGCAAAACTTCATCACCTGATCTTCTGTCTCTTGATTTCTTCCAATTCAAAATAAATAGTATCTAAGTAGGTACATCCTGGGGCAACCTGTCTTGGACCTCAACACCCATCAAGCCCAAAATTCTGGCATGAGGAAGCAAACACACCTCTTGCATGCAATTTCTTACCATCTAGGTTTGCAACCTGCATTCTTGCTGACACAGCCCCAATTTGTCACCTCAGCTCACCCAATGTTCCCCAACATCGTTTGCACAACCCCCTGCATTGCTTCAGAACTAAGATTTAAGCTGCTGCCCCAGGTTGAGTTGTGGGTATCTGGAGAGCCTTTTGATGGCATCATAAGGTGGGTCACCACACGTTAAAGATGAAGAAATAAGCTTGGAGCAGTGACAAGACCTGTAAATGCTACCCACCCAAAGAGGGCTTAACGCTGGGCTTTTAAAGGCATGGGGATACCCCCACGTGGAAATTGGCCTCTGCAGGATGTGTATAATTGGCATGGTATTTATTTGAAATTAAAAGACAGAAGATCCAAGAATAATGAAGATAATTTTCCTCATTCCCTATCTACCTAAAACCAGGAACTAAATCTCTGTGATGGTCCAGGGGGTGGGAGACAGCCATCCAGCCTCATCACCTAGAGTTGTGCTTGCAAGGTCTGTTTCTGACGTGTGTAGATAAACGCAGCAAATTTCCTTTTCCATTAAATTGCAAAGTTTTTTGTTCTGGTTTTCCCTCCTAAATTTCTTGCAGCTTTCTAGAGACTATCTCACTCAATGGAGTGACTAGATGAGAGATTCCTTATTATGTATAAGACTCTGT